GTAGGAACCGTCAAATTTTGACTCCAAAGTCAAAATCAACTTGTAGGGGGCAATTGAAGTGGGTGGGGGTGTGTTCGGGTCAGGGCCGGGTGGGGGGGTTTACCTGGGGGTTAAGAGGGGTAGGAATCGTCAATGTTACAAACGGGGCACCGGAGCGCTCTCGGGTCATCCCATGACATTGTCCACCAATAATAAAGAAGTCCTTAATATGGACAATATATCACGAAAAAAAATTATTTGGACATTTAATTTGAACAAGTAAAGTCACCTCATATAGAACGTTTGATATAATTTTTAAATGTATAAATTTTGTTCGACGGCTAGGTGATGTCATGTTAAAACTACATCTATCAAACATTGAATTTGAAAAAGACTAAAACTGGTTTGGTATACGAAATTCAAACTATAGAATTAGAATCGAAGACAACAATCTCAATTCTGCTGTTTGGTTGCACAAAAATATGTAGATTTAAAATTAGTAGTGTCAAAAATGAATTGAATTGGAGAATTTAATTCCATCCAATTCAGTTCTATAACATTTCAACTTCCAATTTAATTTCAATTTCGTCAATTCTGTATACCAAACGATACTACTCCATACATTAAAAAAACAGTTAATCTTTTCATTGCCAATTAATTATAGGATGTCATTTCTCAATTCTACATTATATCAAAGCGAGTGTTTAGGAGTTGAAGAAACTGAAGTCTATTCAATCAAATAACAGTTCTCACAATTCTACACAAACAATAACTTTATTTTCGTCCAGTTTGACTTTTTTAAAGACGAAGTTTAAACTTTAATTAAATAAAAACTATTCTCTCCGTCTCTGAAAATGTTTCTCCTTTCTTTTTTCATCCGTCCCTAAAAACACTTCTCATTTCTATTAAAAAGTCATTTTTACCCCTTACTTTTTCATACCCTACTTATCACATCATACCTTTTTACTAATAATCTACCCATCAAATCATAGTTTTACCCATTACATCAAAGGACATTTTTGGAAATTCAATGCCAAAATACACTCCCCGTAAATCCCTTTTCAAAATCAAAACTTCCATATTTTTCGGGACGGAGGGAGTATAATGTATATTGCTAAAAAATGATTCCATTAGATTTAACTAGTTTAGAACTTTGTAAAATTTATTTCATTGTATTAACATACGATACGAATTGAGAATAATTAATGAACTGACTAGTTTGTCTCGAAAAAGGCAAGATGGACGAATATATTGAGACTGAGGGAGTAGTCCCTATTCAATCTCCGGAAACACCCGATCTATGTTTAAACATAGGGGTCAGGCTGCGTATGCGATTATTTGTAGTGCTTGACCCGGGGTGGTGTGTTTGGAAACAATCCCTCCTACTTTTGTAGGATTTAATTGGGTTGTTATAAATACTGAGCTTAGTTATTTTGGCACATGGTGTCATATTATGACACTCATCGAAATTGAGACTCCACGTTTCATTTGAAAAAATTGATGGCTCCTAAGAGCTGGGGTGGGAAGAACAAGCGGTAAGAACAATCAATTTTTCGAATAAATCACCGTAATGACCTCAATTTCAGCGGGTGTCATATTATGACATTCATCCAAAGTGGGTGTCTCTCTTAAATGAGTACTATAGATTTATGGTTTATGAACAATAGTACCAAACCAGTCAAGCATTCAACAGGTCCTTTTGAGAAGCTGACACAGATAAGAATGATCTTGCCATTGAGCGGGAAGCAGTACTCGGAGAAGGTGACCGAGAACTGCATTGCTCACTGGAAAGAGTTGGGGATCTACGGTGATGCCGAAATCGACGCCATCGACAAGTTTCTTCAGGTCTTCAGTGACCAAATGTTTCCCCCGGCCGCCTCCATCCTCTTCTCTCACTCACACTCTGGCTCTCTAACGGTATGAATTTACTCCGTCGCTAAAGTATTTATACAGTTTGACTTTTATGAATTTAAAGTGGTCCAATCGAGACCGAGCGGGTCCTAAACAATTCTTCGTATTTGGCGAGAGACTGGATCGTTTTCTAGCCAAACGGATGTAGGCATTGGACTGGACCGAAACCATAGATGCATGATTCACGGTCCAACCAGTCCAATCCGATTGTAATAACACTATCTTAGGCGATTCCAAAAATATAGTTCCAAAAGACTTCATTATCAATATCACCTCGGTTCATGTGACATTGGCGTTCAATGTTATAACATAACTTGGGAACCTACGGTGCTTCGTTTAAAAAGTTGATAGTTCCTACCCCCAAAACCTCTCAAGTCTTTCTCTCCCCTGAACCTCCAGTCTCCTCCCCCTCTTCACCGATTGGTTACCGTTATTGTAGCCATTCAGCAAAGGGGATGGGGCAGGGAGGGTGCTGGGGGTGCAAGGGTGGGAGTTCAGGGGGCAAACACCATCAGATTTTTGAACAGAGCACCGTAGATGCCTTGAGTCACGCTATGACATAGTCTTGCAATGTCACATGAACTGGCCCGTATCAATATACATCACGTAACTTTTCCTTTTAATTTTGTGGGAGCTACAGATAAGCTTCTCCAAAGATGGCGCGATACCCAAGACACCGAACGCGGTGATAGAGAACAAGAACCTATCGGAGGCGGTGCTGGAGTCCATCATAGGCGTCAACGGCGTTTCTCCGGCAGCAAAGCGGAGCCTCGCCCTCCGATTATCAGAGCTGCTCAAGAAGGGAAAAGATATTGGTGAAGAGAATGTATGAGTGAAGACATATGTTCCAAAAAAGAAAGAAGATTCTCCTTTTAGAAATGGCATGCATGAAGAAATGGTCTATGTTTTATTGAGAGTTAAGAAGTGTGGAAGGAGAGGAAGACAGAAATAATGTTGTGTGTTGTTTTATGTTTGTTTTATTGGCTATGTAGACATACTGGTCTTATCCTCTGTATTTCTGTATTTCTTTGTTCCATAATAAAATTTCACATTTTTTATCTATTCTAGAAAAGTACCACTTTTGGAAGTGTTTGTGACTACTACTAATTCTCATTTCTACGCATTATTTTCAACAACATAATCTCACTTTTTTAAATCTTTGTATATCTGGTCAATTGTGAAACATTATCACCTTTTTAAGTCTTTTTTTACAACTAAAAGATTGTCGGTGTTTCTGTGCTTATAAGTTGGTTAAAATTGTTTATAAATTGTTTTAAACTTATAAGTCAGTAGATGATGTGTTTTTATGTGCTTATAAGCTGACTTTTATGCTGCTTATAAGCAAAAAAAACTCCGTTTTGACCAGATTTCTTACAAAAATATCTCTCATTTATTATTAATAACCTCAGATGACTGATAAATTATTTATGGTATATTTGGAAATATGGATTTGGATTTCAAATCTGGATTTGGCTCAAATTCCATGTTTGGAAAACTTAAAAATTTGAATTTGAGTCAAATTCTTTTCATTCATAACAAAGTTTAATTTGATATCCATGCACCACCCATTTGAAATTCAAGATTTCAACTTTTGGAATTGAAATGCATGAATTGAAATGAAATGCTAGTTGTCAAACATTACTTAAAGTTATTTTATATACACAAAAGAATTTAACTTATAAGCAGCTCAAAAGTTAAAAACTGCTTATAAGCAATAAGTTAATAAGCAGTACAGAGAAACATCCACTATATTATCCTCATGTTTATCTCTATTAAATTCCTCTTTAATTTACAATAGTACCAAGGACAAAAACGATAAATCAAATGTTTTTTTTATCTTATATTTAAAAGTGAATCTAGTCATAACAAGAAAAAAGATATCGTGCAGATGAAGTGTTTGTTTTAATACATTGATGATGTAGTCTAGAAATCACTCACGATTACCGAAATAGTTTTAAAAACTCCATATTTCTCCTAATTAATTCCTTTTTATGAATGACTTATATCTTCCTTCTTTAACATAAACTTTTACTACAATTATAATGTTACAAAAAAATTGGTATATCAACATTACATTTTAAAATAAACTCAATGTTAACTAATTTTATACTCCGTATTACTTATTCACAGGACCAAACTTCATTCGCTTTCTTTCTCAATTTTCGTGAGCTATTTGATAAAATAAAATATTATTGTCACTACTTGTTTTGTAGATCTTTTGATGTAGTATTTTAATATTTAATTTTTATTTTTTAATTATATACCATTTGTGATATAAATTTATTTAAAAATAATTTCAATTAAACATCGTAAACTGAAACAAGCGTTATAAAATGGGACGGAGGGAGTATCAAATACACTTTTTTCAAAAAAATTATTTACAAAGTGGTACATGATTTGACAAAAATGTCAAACTATGCTAATCTTTTTAAGAAAGATAGAGTATTTAGGAGCATGTTCGGGAATAGCATTAACGTTTTAAAAAGACTATCTATGGACAACGTTTAGCATTAGCGTTTTGAAAGGGATCTACATCGTTAAAATTTTATCCAAAACGCTAAAACTACTAAATATTCAATATTTGACTTGCTCCATTTCCCTATTGCACACTCAGCTCCGACTTGTTGCTTAGAAGAATTTAGTGTGCTCAAAACCAGCATAATAAGCTCTATACACATAAACCTTTCAATACATTATACTCCGTAGGAATTCCATCGTTGATCTTCGGGGTTGGAGTATGGGTTTCATTCGGAGAATCAATCAGAGAAATTCGTATCTCAATGAAGCGTTTCCAAATATTCTCACAACATTTTCAAACTCATATTGGAAACGGTTCTGCGATAATGGAAGGGTTAACACGAAGTATGCCATTGTTTGTGCCGAACATCGTGTCTAAGTCGATCAAGCAAGAGTTTGTAGATCATCTGCAGAGGCAGAGTATATAGACTATAGAGCCCTTAGTAATGCAATGGCCAAAGTGTTTTGGGTACAAAATGTTCTCTAAAAGCAAAACTTGCCTATTCTTGTCTGTGACAACTTTAGAGCAACATTTGTTTGTAAAAGAACAACTCTGCCTTTCACCTTTGGATGCCCAACATTTTGCACTTGGTTGTCTTTTGATCATACTGTAATGGTCAGCAGTTAGGTCAATGTCCTGCATGTAGCTTGGATCTTGTATTTATTTATGGTACAAAAGATTCTTAGAGGGCATTACTTTAGGAATCTCATTGTGATTAGGTTATACCCCCCCCCCCCCCAATCCACACCTTTATAAAGACTCCTAATAGAGGCAATTGATACACACACATATATAGTTCAAAACCCTAGACAAAGAATACCAGAAAAGAGTCAAAACCTTCTTCGTTTCATGCCGTCTCCACGCCAAACTTGGGGGGCATTTGGTCGATAGTTCCCGTCTTGATCTTCCACGTTTCGCATTCTCCTACCGGGCGAAATCCCAGTCCTGTTTTCCAAACGCGCCTCGAATTCCCTGTCCCTTCTTGTGTTGTTTCTTTCCATGAATTCCTGATCTTCATCGGGAGAACACCTAAAAGTCCTAGGTCCATCTTCCCCGGAATGGAAACGGAAATTCTCAATGTGATTGTCATTGTTGTTGTTGTTGTTGTTGTTGTATGGAGGACCACGAAAAGATCGGGCCCGTCTCTCGCTATATTTTCTATTTGAACTTGTGGACCCACCAAAGTAGTCATCACCATCGTCGTCCACTCTGTCTCCACGATTCATACCATCAGGTCTTGGGGCTTTTCTGGGAAATAAACGGTTAGAAGGGCTTCTTCTTTCTTGTATGGTGGCATCCCCATCCCTGGAGCAATACGATGGGGAGTCACGCCTTCTTGGAATCATTTCTTCGGAAAAATAATCGCATTCGGGTGACCTCATCCTGTCTACACGACGATACATGATTGGAGATTCATCCAGTCCTTCCATGGCTCTTCGACGAGAAGAAGACCAATGGCCAGAAGAGGAATGCCTCTGACCTGATTCATCCGGAGATTTTGACCGCACTCTAGAGTAACCGCCGCGCCTTTGAATGGCTGCAGGGAACATTGTTTTCCCGTGGGAAAATTGTCCGTCTCTTCTATTATATGGAGGATCAATCATGTCAAACCTTTCGCCATGCCCGAGTTCAACCATCTCAGAACCACCTTCATCAGTACATCTACTTGGGGGACTAGTGTTTCTAGGAATCCTACCGTGTCTTTGAATGCCCCTGTCACCGGGAGAATGTCTCCTTGATGAAGACTGTCGAAAAGAAGGGGACCCACCATTCAATAGTTTCCTCCCTCTGCTGGGTGGACCCAAAACTGCTCTGTCGGGTAACATATCAAAGTCGTTCCGTTCAACTTCGTCGTTGTCAATGGAAGAGCCACGCTTATGTCTAGTGAAACAGTAATCATCCATACGGTTATTGTTGTAGCTAAAATTGCGCTCGGAATCCCATTCTCGGTGGGACCTACCATACCGGCCAGAACCCCGTCCCCTTCCACGTATGTAATTCCCTCTGGTGGGCCTTTCATAAGACCGGTCTCGAAATCTATCTCTTGTGTATTTGTTTGAACCATCATGGTACATTTCACCTCTGAAAAAAAAGTCAAGGGTAACAAAATCAAGTGCTGTCAACCGTTGAACACACAAAAAAATGAATTAACTGCTACAAGATTAAAGAAACTGTTGGTAGTCAAAAGAGCATGTTCACCTATTCCCACTTAGACGAAACTTCCCATCCTGAACAACAAAATATCTTTCCCTTCCACTTCTAGATGACAATGGAATACCCATGACGGATCTGGATTTACTAGGAGAAATGGAACTAGAAGCCCGGGGTAAATTGATAATCCGGCTCTTAACTGCACTAGAATCTTTAGCAGTTCCATTAGTATCCTCAACTGAGATCTTGGAAACAGTTACTCCTGTCTCATCACATAAAACTCCCTCTATGTTTTCCTCTTGCTTATGTTCTGTTTCTGTTTTTTCAAAATGCATTTGGTGAATTTCACTTACAGGCATAATAGCATCAAAGTAACATGTCGCTGGCACAACTTCTGACTTGGTAGAGATTGACGAACCATCCATCTCCAAAGATTGATCAACTAACTTTTCAGACACTGTGGTACCATCACACTCTCGTGTACAGTAACTAGTAGCTGTCTTTGGATGAATCATAGTTTCATCTTTTTCTTCATCACCATACCGGACAATATTATCATCACCTGAAGCTACCATAGTGTGACTATCAGAATCAATAACCTTTTCTGAATCTGATCCCTCGACAATTGGGTTTTCTGGTATTGAATGCAATGTAGGCTCCCTCACTTCACCATCTTCAAGCTCATCGTCTTCCTTTCCACTTGGCCTACCTTCTACTTCAACATTAAAATCAAGATGATGACCATCTGATTCAATATCAGAACAAAAGGATTCTTCTTCCATAACAGCTGATATGTCCATATCTTGCTCGCCATTTGCAACCGTTGCATGAGGATGTCTGTTAGATTGCTCCAAATTTGACGTTTTCGAGCTGTCTACATTCACACCATCTGACTCACAAGCGTCTGTTTTAGAACCAGATGCAGTTAAATCTTCTAATGCAGAATGTTCATTTTTTGCAGCACTACCTGCATTCCTCTGATCTAATGTATTCTCACAACCATCAACATCTTTCCTATGAATAGAATATTCAGATTGATTAGGTAACTCTCTGCTGACAGACAACTCTGAAAATGTAGGTAATTTTGTAGGAAGCGGCCTTTCAGATTTCAATGGCACTGGCAAAGTAGAAGACTCATTTGATGGTACAACATTTCCAACAGTTTGGTGCAACTCCATGTTTGACATCGTCCTGCAAGTTTCCTGATTAGGTTCCTGCAAGGGTTCAGGCTTCATCGATTTTTTCTCTATCACCTTATGAATATCGAATTCCAAAGATTCCATGTTTCCGCTCTCAATGAATTTCCTTTTTGAGGAATCACTATCAAGTGTTTTGCAAGTACTGTTGCTAGAAGCAATGAAGTCCTGTTTTGAGCTATCATCAATTGG